GTTTGTTTTTGCTTTGATGATGGCAGCAGGTGGGGCTTCTACAGATGGGACTTCACTATGTTCTGTTCCTCTCTATAAAATATGAGCATGCTTCAGTGCAAGCTGTGGGGCCACCTCCCCAAACTCCTCAGACACCTTCTGGTATCATCCTGACATTCTCCCCATTAGCATTGGATTTAACCTGAACTTCGCCAAACTCATCATGATATTTAATTAATATCATTAGTTAATATTTTAGAACTTGTTTATTGTTGACAATCTATTTTTCTCACTAGAATATAAACACTCCTAGGTCAGGGACCATGTGTTTCTATTTCTAGCTGACTGGAACAGTTAACAAGATAGATACTCGGCAAATATTTTCAAATGCTTGAATGAATGATTTCATCACTGGACTTTTGTTTGGTGAAGTGTTTGCCCATATGCATTCTACATTCTATTCCTTTTAAATACTTACATCATGTTTATGATCAAAGAAAATTATTGTATATTGCCAATGTTCCCTTCCTTGAAAGGGTCTCCTGACCTGGCCTTGGCATTCAATTTAATCCAGTTCCAGTAATATCTATTGAGTGTGGCAGTCTGGAGTGTAGGCTTCCAAATCAGACAGACCTGGGTTTGAATTCTGGCTCTGCTATTTTCTAGCTGTGTGTCCTTAGGCAAATTATTAACTTTGTTTCCTATCTACAAAACAAGGACAAACTTTGTTTCCTATCTACAAAACAAGGGCAAACATATTTACCTTATATAACATTATGGTTGCAATGAATAAGAGACAGTGTATGTAAAGCAGGTACTATACTGGCTGATGTATTGTAAATGCTATAGTTATTAGTATTGTTTTTTCCCCTCAGTGCCTGCTTCTAATTACTGGTCCTGTGCCAACCACTGAGGAGACAGAGATGAACAAAATGCTTTTTAAATTTCCCAGTCCAGACAAGAAGTGGCCCAAGCACCAGACCTGCATATGAGGGTGAGGCAGGACTGTCTTTCAGACCTCAGAGCTTGGTGCTGAGATAGGCATGAGAGAAGGAAGGGAAGGGAGAGGGGAGACCCGAACCCCATCCCAGCCAAGTCAATGGTCCAAAATGATTCATTCTGGTGAGAATTCTGGAAAAGTGAGAACCCAGAGACTAGCAGGAGTAGCAAGCAGAAGTGGAGCCGTCCCTGAGCTGCAGGCCATTTTAATAAAGCCCCAGGACCTAAGGTGAAGCAGGAGGGAGGTTTTGAGGGCTGGTCAGCTGGACACTGTTCTCAAGGACTTTAGAGTCTAGTACGGGAGGCCAACATGTAAGCAAACAATAATACAAAAGGAGGTAAACATGCATGCCAAGTCCAGAAGCAGCACAAGGGAGGAAAGGTGTGGTGGGTGTGGCAGGAACCAAGGAAGGCTTCAGAGAGGAAGAGCCTAGAAGGATTTGGGAGGATGAGAAGGAATTTAATGCAGGTGAGAGATGGAGTGGGTGGAGGGTTGAGATGTGAAATGGAGGAATGAGGCAGGATAATGGCCTGTTTGTGTTTTCAAGGTTCTGTAATGATTAGGGCTTTGCCTGGGCTCTCAGGGATGCGTGGGCTGGGCTGAAGGGGCATGCTGGGATGCCCTCCAATGGTCCCTAGTAATCTGCTTCTCTGGGGTATAAACAAGAGGTAATTGGTCCGAGACATTTCCAAATTCCAAGAACTCCTAAAACCCTACTTCTTTGGAGTCCATGCCCTGGAAATCCTTCCTCTACAGTGGCTGTTAAAGTGACAAACTCATGCAAAATGTCCCAACTCAGACTGAAGAGTAGTTTTGAGTTGAAGAGAAATGTGCTATGGAATTATTCTACAAGTGTCCTGACATAAAAATAAATCAATAAATCAATAAATCAAAGATGTTAAGAGCCTGGCTTTGAAACAGGATGCATGGCATGTATTTTATGAGCTAAGATGAGCATTAACTCTACTCTCATGCTACAACTTATCTACAGAGTATTCAGCCAGTCTTTGGATGGTGAACACTCAATGCAATATACAGACAATGTATTATAGAATTGTACTCTTGACACCTATATAATGTATTAACCAACAGAACCCCAATAAAGTAATTAAAGGGTTTTTTTTTTACAAACTCTCTTACTTGAGATTGGTGGAAGGCATGGTGGATGGGATTCTGGGGAAGAAAGCTGAAGAATGTTGATGGAAATGCAGGTCTGTCATCATATGGGCTGAAGCATAGTCTCTCCCAGAGGGTGAAAATGGGGAAGGACTTTAACATTTATTACATACCTACTATGTGCTGGGGGCTATGGTAGGCAGACAGACATCACCTTTTAAAATCTTTTTCTTCTTTCAAAATAGATTTTTATTATTTTATAGCAGTTTTGACTTGCCAGCAATGTTGAACAGCAAGTTTTCCCATGTATCTCTTGCCCCCACATATGTTTGGCCTCCCCATTACTAAAACCTCTGACCAGAGTGGTACAGTTGTTATATCTGATGAACCTACATTGATCCGGAATCGTTGTCACCCAGAGTCCATAGTTTGCATTAGGTTTCACTGTTGGTGTTGCACATTTTATGAGTTTGGACAAATGTATAATGACATGTACCTACCATTGTAGTACCATACTGAGTAGCTTCACTGCCTTAAAAGCCCTCTCTCAACCAATGATCTTTTCCCTATCTCCATGGTTTTATCTTTTTCATCATGTCATTTAGTTGGAATCATACAGTATGTAGATTTTCAGATTGGCTTCTTTTACTTGGTAATATGCATTTAAGGCTCCTTTTATGTGTCTTCATTGCTTGATAGCTCATTTCCTTTTAGTGCAAAATAATATCCCATTGTCTGATTGTACCACAGTTTATTTACTCATTAACCTACTGAAGGACGTCTTGGTTGCTTGCAAGTTTTGGTAATTATGAATAAAGCTGCTTGCTGTAAACATCTGGGTGCAGGATTTTATGTAAACATACGTTTTCAAGTTCTTTGGATAAATACCAAAGAGTGTGTGATTCATGTAGCATATGGTAAGAGCGTATTTAGTTTTTTAATTTAAGTTTTATTGACATATAACTAAAAATTAAATTGTAAAAATATCTCATGTGTGCTATATGTTTAGTTTTGTAAGAAACCACCCAACTCTCTTCCAATGTGGCTGTACCACTTTGCATTCCCACCATCAGTGAGAGTTCCTGTTGTTCCACATGCTCACCAACATTTAGTGTTGTCAAATTTTGACCATTCTAATAAGTGTGTAGTGGTATCACATTGTTGTTTTAATTGCATGTCCATGATAACTTATGATGTAGAGCATCTCTTCATATGTTTATTTTCATCTGTTTATCTTCTTTGATGAGGTGTGTATTGAGGTCTTTTGTTTATTTTTTTAAAATATTTTAATTAGTTTATTGTATTTTGCCATTACCATTTAGTCCCCTTATACTGCCTCCCCACTGCAATCACTACATTGTCTGAGTCCTTTCCCCTTTTTTCTCAATACCTCAACCCCTTAATCACCCCCCTTAGCTGTCATCCTGGTTTCTATCTATGAGTCTCTCTCTATTTTCCTTGTTAGTTCAGTTTGTTCATTAGATTCCACATATGAGTGAAAGTGTATAGTATTTTTATGTCTCTGACTGGCTTATTTCACTTAGCATAATGTTCTCTAGGTCCATCCATACTGTTGCAAAGGGTAAAATTTTCTTATTTTATACGGCCAACTAGAATTCCATTGTGTAAATGTCCCATAGTTATATCCACTCCTCTACTGATGGACACTTAGGCTGCTTCCATATCTTGATGATTGTAAATAACACTGCGATGAACATAGGTGTGCTTATGTTCTTTCTAATTAGTGTTTTGCATTCCTTTGGATTTATTCCCAGAAGTGAAGTATATATTCCCAGAAGTATATCCAATATATACATTGCTCCAATGTCATTCTTTAAATCTACTTAACAATCCTCCCATCTTTGTTTTACAGATCCAGGCTTAGAGAGGTCAAGTGATTTTTTTTTTCCTGCTACTAAGTCAGCAGGTGGTGGGGCTGAATTTCAAACACAGGTCTGTCAGGCCTTGAATCCCAGCCAAGACACTATCTCCATTCAACATCTATAGCCTCAAGAGCCAATCTGGTCCAGGACTCTCTCCAGGGTTGGATGAGGTCTCTTCAAATACTGAGATTCTAAGTCACAAAGTAGAGCACACAAAAGAATGAGCACTTCCTTCACCTTTTTGACCCAAAGACCTGCTACTGAATTTTGTCTTCATGCGCCTGAAGTATCATTTTCACACATCCTCAGAAAGGCAACTCACTGTTGGGGGTGATAACCTCTAGACTTTTGGCTGAAGCGGGTGATTAAACTCCTAGTTCTTGCTGGTAGGATTTGAATTTGATGCAATGGTTCATAAGTAAATGAAAAATTAGTGAAGTTTTACAATGTTGTTATGAACTTTATGTGAGAGTTGATTGTTTCACATATCCTTATAAAACAAGTTGGAGATGGCGGAGGATGATTACATCATGCACCCTGTGCTACCCACAGAGATGAAGCCTTCTTTAATGCTTGAGATACTTCCTGATGCCCCCCTCAGGACAGCCCAATGTTAAGATTTTATTTTGTTCCTATAATAGGTGTAGAGGAAAAAACGAGGAAGAAGGCGGGGAAACTTATTAGCCCAACTAGTTGTACTACCATTCCTGGTAATGATGAGTGATTAATGTCAGAGAAGAGCACCAAAACTTACAGAAAAAGGCCTATTTGGCTTAAGTACTAAATAAATAAGCCAGTTCCACATTTCTTGGATGGCTGGCAAAGGTTTTATCACCAATAGCAACTCCCCCATCCAGCTTGCTCTGCTTATACGAGTTGTCAGATTCTGTCCCAACCCCAAGCTACCTAAGGAGGAGGAGCTGGGCTGTGTCCACTGCTCACTTATAACTAACTCCAAGTGAGGGGGAGGGACAGGCAGGGTTGCCTCCTGTACAAGCTGCTTGCCTGACTTATATCCACAAATGCCTTGGAAGCAGCAGGCTGACTGCATCCTTCTCATCACATTCCTGGGTGTGTCTGGGCTGGCTGGTGCAGTTACCAGAACATACCACATTGGGATTGTGGAAGAATACTGGGACTATGTACCCCAAGGGAAGAACATTATTACTGGGAAAAGTTTCACAGAAGACAAGTGAGTGAACATGGGGTCCCCATAGATTCCCAGGTTTGGCTTCCTTTTCACTAGACATGGGGGAGATTATATTATTTGGGTGGTTATAATGGGGGCAAGTTGATCTAAATCAACAGGGTGAGAGGTTGTACTTGCTTGGAAAACCCTAACCTGGGTGAGTGTGTAGTTTGGAAGAGATATTCTTAACTCCACCTATTTGTTGGGCCTTCTATTCACAGCCTTTTGTGGGAAAAGCCATGAACACAACCAAGTGTTTGAATAATGTCTCATTCTATAAATGGACAATTTTTGCTAGACCCTACTAGTAACTTCAAGGGGGTTCTAGATTCAGTTTATTTTTTAAAAGAATGGCAATCCTTGGAATGAAAATTTGAAAATTTTAAAGAATTCTTCACTGTTAAAACAGAGTGTTTTCTTAGTTTTTATTTTTGGAATGAAATATCATCATTGGAAATATTAGTATGTTATAGGCAGTTACATCTTCTTTTTGCTTTGCAATGTTTTAAAAAAAGACAATTACAATAGGTTCAGCCACTGTTTTAAGAACTTCCTTGAGTTTACTACAAATAGCTTTTTTTACTGGTGAGAGCCTTATTTCAGCCCCAACTCATTCAATCTGAGAGCAATATCCTATCCCCAGAGCCCATGGCATAGCTGGGTGATATGGTTATAGAATGTTCTATATCCCTGTTTTTTTCTTTTTCCAGCAAATAGCCCTTGCTTCCCATTCCCCTTGAAGAGTCCAGTGTCTTATATCTCCTATTTGTTCCCTGGAGCTCCCACTGAAGTCACCCCCCTGGCTCCAATAGTTCTCATGAATATGCTCAACTTTGTGCTTCTTAGACCATCTTTTGAGATGTTCTGGTAACCACTGTTGGATATTCAGATGCTTGCTTTGCTCCTAATAGATAAAGTTCATTGAGTTCAACATCCAAGTTCCATTTTTCTAAAGATGAGGTTAGTTGATAAGATTCAGGACAGCACAGGGTCTGCCAACAAAGGTGGCAGAGTCAGGTCTCCCTGCCCTGGGGAAAGACCAAAGATCCAGTTGGCTTGGACACACAACTTCCAGGTTATGCCACAAAGGTGATATAGTCATAGTTTGTTTTCTGTTTTTTTTTTTTAATTAAAGAAGGATGATGCTTGTTCCAGCCCAGCTGCGAAAGAAAAGGACTTCTCCTTAAGTTTTTACCAGGAAATTTCATGTCCACAGGCTATTTCCAAAGAAAGTTCTTGACTTCTTTGAATCCCTCATGTGCTGACAATTGGTGGTCTTTGCTGTGAAAAATGGATATGATATTGAAATGCTACTCTAACTGCTAGTGTCCTCCCCTAGAAATAGAGCCCTCCCATTCTCAAAAATAATCAATAGAAAATAGTCGTGGTGAGCAGCTGTTGCATGCCAGACTATTCAAGACATGTGTATTGCATGTAATATGTTCCTTAAGCTCAAGTGATATTGGACTACTTTTCTACATACTTGAGTAAAAAATGAATTCTATCTTTTTCCTAAAATATCCATGTCAGTATTCTTTATTTTATATTCTTACACAGGAATTCCATTAGAGATTTTTAATTCATTGTTGCTTGTACATGTTATTATTCCCATTTTACAAGCCAGGAACTGAGGTTCCACTAAATATTTGCCATATATCCATGAAACTTGTTTCTTGGCAAAGGTGATCCTTTCCTGCTGAATTAAACTCAGCTTTGAGAAAACCAGAGGTTCCAGTAATAAGAAGTTTCTAGAAAGATCCAATCTTACCAAAGGCAGATTTAGTCCACTTACCAGTCTTCTCAGAGAGACATTGAAAATGATCACTGGTGTTAGCTACCAAACTGGTTACCTATCCATTTAGAAACCCACAATATTCAGTACTTGAAAAACTCAAATACTAGAATATTATTTCTGCAAAGCTGAGTGTAGGTAGAAGTTGTGGGCTCACTTTTCAGCTGTAAGACAGTGTTTTGAAGTAAGTACCAAAAAATGTATGAAAATAGTTATGGTAAAAAAGAAAAAGAAAAAAAAAACACGGCTAAAACAGAATTTGATATCAGATTAGAGTGAGTGGCTTAACAAGTGTTGTGGCTCTTTGCAAGAGGGCCCCTGCCTTTTAGGGAAAGCTAGCATATTAAACATCAGACATGGATGCCAAAGTCCCCACATGTTCCCTTCTGGTGTGTAAAGGGACGGTATTAATGCAGGGTGACTCCTGACTCTTGAAAGGGGAACCTGGGTGGGTGTGCAATGTATTTTGGTTTGTATCTTGTATCAACAATTATTTCAGGAAGTGTTGCTGGTGTGGCCAGTAGCCCAGAGCAAGTCCCTAAGAAGGTACAGTTGTGGTTGTCTGCCAATCCTTGTTTGAAGACCACAGGACACGTGTCTCAGGTGCTACCATCCAGAGGTATCACAGTTATCACATTGTGGGACATGTATGGAGTTCAGTATAAGTGCTCTACAAGGTGCCATTTTCCTAGGACCAAGGACCTTGGATTTTGTGACCATGCTTGTCACTCAGCCTCCCGTAGAATGAGTAGGTAGCATTTCTGAGGACAGTCTGCTATTTCGGATGTTCAGAATCATACCAATGCCTGATATTTAGAGGTCCAAGAAAACCAGGTTCCCAGTATGCCACAACAAGCAGAAAGAGGAATCAGGAGACCTGACTTCTAGTCCTTGCTCGGACCTCAACTTGCCGTGTAACCTTGAGCATGTTACATAGTCTCTCCGAACATCATTTTCTTTAATTTGTATAACAAGGGAGTTGAAATATAATCCCTAAAGCCACTTGGCAAAAATTAGGGGAATAGAAAGGTGAGTGTCACTTTCAGTGATGTAAAAAGACTTGCAAACGAAATTAGGCAGCAATAAGAGCCTAATAACTCCTAATTCACAAGGATGATAATGGAAATGAGTTGAAATCATTTTACTGAGACACTACAGCAGTCAGTTGGTGCTATTTAACTTTCTAATTTGGTACCTTTGCCTGATCATAGGGTTCAAAAATATAATTGAGATTATATGCCTGATAGTTTCTAGGAAGTATAAGATATAGGAGTTATATTCCATTTAGAAATATTTTTCCCGATGAATATATTCCCCCTCCTTTCCTGCTGTGCTTAATGGGGACACATAGCTGCTTTGATTTGCCTGGGGATGGTGTCAGCATTTGATCCATTCATGCCAGTCCTGCTAGAGCTCATAAAGCACTTAATGAAGGTGTGGTTGTGCTTCTGTGGTAAGGCCTGGTCTTTATGGAACCAGAGTGGTATCACCTTGTTTAAAGCCACAATTCTCGCCAAAGCCCTCATTAGGCAACCAACACGTGCAGGCTTTTTCTTTCCAGTGAAACACAGAGGTTTTTGTGGGCACTAACTCACAAGCAAAACCACACTTGGACATGAGTGCAGCTGACAACTACTCAAACCCCAAGTCTGTAGGGTCAGATAAGGGACCTGACCCAACCACCTCACTATGCCAGCCCAGCTGATGGCAAAGGGTTTTGAGCACCCCCTGGGAGTAGGCTTTAGGATGGCTGTGAAGGAGAGACCCATATGTCTATCTGAAAGAGCCAACTGAAGGGAAGCAGGTGTGAAAAGAGAGAGACTTTTGTAAGCTTTGTAAAGGGAAAGATTTCATCTTATTAGAGCTCAGTCTTAGACAGATAGTGACTTTCAAATCTCAACTTTTATCTTATCAGCAGAAAAAAATCACGTGTTAGGCCTGATATCATGTGAATCACCTGGGGTTGCTGTTATTCCCTGTATCATTTAGTGATTGCTTTTGGATGTCAGTAGCACAAGAATAGATCACTTAAACAAATTAGGGTTTTGTAAGCTCTTTTAAAAGAAATCCAGATGTTAGCAATCCAAGGCTGGTAGGACAGCGGGTATGACAGGACTTCAGGGGCCTTAAAAATTTTGGATTCACCGTTCTTAGCATGTGATTTCACTCCTCTCAGAAGTTCATGGCCATAGGATGTCTGTTGGAAATCCAGCCCTCATGTGTATGTTCCAGGAGGGAAGAAGGAAGAGAAAAGGTAGAAGGAGCACAGTTCCTGCTGCATCAGCCCTTTAAAGGGCTCTCATGGAAACTCACGCAACCAATCCTATTTATATCTCATTGGATACTCCAAGCTACAAAAGGGACTTGAAAATATAGTTTTCAGTTATGTGCTTTTTGGCCTGTATAACAGCAGGATTTAATTCTCTTACTAAGAAAGAAGAGGGGCATGAATGTTGCAAAGCAGCCTGCAGCCCCTGCCACCTTCCCCTACCTCAGTTCTCTCTGTTTCCCATCCTTCAAGAACACCCTCTTGGTCCCCCTCACCTCCAGACAGTGGGGCCCCAAGGCCTGGTTAGTGAGGTTCTAGAAAACACACAGACAGCATTGATTGCTAGCGGTTATTGAGTCCTCACTATGTTCCAGTCAGCTTAAAAGCTTTCCATGCCATGTGGAGGAATGAGATATCATCTACCCCAGTCAGGGGAATCAGGAGACCCAGAGTGGGTTTTCTCAGCCAGGTGTAGCCCAGCAGTAGTCTAGCAGATGCCAAGGAAGCCTGGCTTGCTGGTGGACATGGGGCTCTGGCATCAATGGACAAGTTTAGAACTTTTGTTCCTCTTACTAAGCAAGTAATTGAATCTCCCTTTGACTCAATTTTCTCACCAGTAAAGTAGGAATAATGATAGTCTGTCTTTGCTTGGTGGTGGGGGGCAGGGGTGGGTGGGTGTGTATGAGTTTCCTGTGACCAAATTATCACTGGGTGGCTTAAAACAATAGAATGTATTCTTTCCCAGTTCTAGAGGCCAGAAGTCTGAAGGGAAGGTGTCAGTGGGGCCACACGCCCTCTAGAGGCTCTGAGGGAGGATCCATTCATTGCCTATTCCAGCTTCTAGCAACTGCTGGCAATCCCTGGCTTGAGGACCGGGGCAACTCCCCAATCTCTGCCTCTGTTTTTGTATTACCTTCTCTTCTATGTGTGTCTAATCCCTGT